AAAATATCTCATCAATCCTAAATCTTTTTTCTTCACATATGGAGATGGTTCACTCGGGCTCCATTGAAATCCATTCTCGTGGAAGTAGCTGTCAATTTTGCTATTCCAAGCCCGTGGTGCTTGCTTCAACCCGTATAATGCTTTGTGCAACCGATAAACTTTGTTTTCTTCTTTCTTGACTATGTAGCCCTGTGGTTGCTCGACATAGACTTTCTCTTCGAGTTCTCCATTTAGGAATGCTAACTTGACATCTAGCTGAAATACTTTGAGCTTGAGTTGTGCTGCTATAGCCAATACCGTCCTTATGGTTTCCATACGAGCAACTGGGGAAAATGTCTCATTGAAGTCGACTCCTGGTCGCTGAGAGTAACCCTTTGCGACTAATCGAGCCTTGATTTTCTGAACGGAGCCATCTTCATTGTACTTGGTTTTGTATATCCACTTAAGACCAATGACCTCCTTTCCTTCTGAAAGATTCACCAGCTCCCATGTTTTGTTCTTCTCGATCATGTAGATTTTTTCATCCATTACTTTTCTCCAGCCTTCATCTTGAACAGCTTCTTCAAATTTCTGTGGTTCACAGGAGAAGAATGCTATGTCACAGGAGTCATAAATATCTTGAAGTGAACGCACCTTTTTAGGCAATGAATCTGTGTCTGAAGTTGATGCATCTGAGGATCTTGGACTAGGGGAATCTTGATATGACGTGGCTCCCCTTGTTTCTTCGTCAATGATGCTTGGTGTTAAGGTTTGATGCGGTTCACCGTTCCATGTTCCTGCTTCACTGAAGATAACATCTCTGAGACCACCAATTTGTTAGTATCAGGATTGTATAATCTGTAGGCTTTGGATTCTTCACTGTAGCCAATAAAGATGAGTTTTTCTCCTTTTTCATCAAACTTTTGTTAGACCCTAGAGGGGGGGTGATTAGGGTCTTATGCTAATCTAATCCGATTTTATCCCAATTAAAACTAATTAACAAGTTATATTCTTGCAAGATAGATATACAAAGAGTTAAGTGCAAGAATATGCAATATACACAAGGTGATATATCCTAGCAAAGAGGTATACTATATGATATATGCAAGGATATATAAACTAACACAAGGGTAAACAATATGAACTAGATAGTGGATCATATAAATAATGAGCTAATGACAATGGCGACAAGAATTATAAACACAAGTATAAATAAACGCCAAAGCACACTCAAACACAAGATATGATCACGGAGTTCGGACCTTCCGTCCTACGTCTCCGCTCCCCACTCCCGGGGAGAAATCCACTATCACAACCGGGTTTTCTACGTTCACCCGAATAACGTTTACACCTCACAGTGTCGGTTTTCAACGCTCACCGAACAACGTTCACTCCTCACACTCGGTTTTCTAGTTCACCGAAAACTTCACAACACACTCGGTTTTCTAGCTCACCGAAAACCTTACACCACTCACAATGTAACAAATATAAATTTGTTCTCTACAATAGATGAGAACTCAATTAAGCACAAACTCAATGTTACAATCTCTCACAACCCTAATATACTATGTATGCAAATACAATAAGCTCAAGTGGGTGTGTGTAACAATGAGATAATATAATCAAATCTAAACTCAATATAAAAACTAGCTTTAAAGAATGATAATCAAATAACTAAGCAAATGTAAAGCTAGATAGAGTTTAGAAAACTTCTCCAATAGATGACAAGATGGAGAGATGGAGATTGGAGCCCAAACAAGAAGATACTGTAGCAACGGTCGGATGCTACAGTACTTCGGTCGACCGGTACGGTCGACCGAGAGCCATCTGCAAAGCTGAGAAACGTCCAGAGACATTTCCGGTCGACCGGTCCGGTCGACCGGAGTTACTGTAGCAGCGCGCAGATGTTTTGTAAAATCAATTTAAAATAGTAAATGAACTCCAAAAGTTATGAAATTTTTTGGGAGTGTTCTAGACATGTAGAATAACATGTCAGAGAAAGAATTTCGGAAAAATCTTTTCCCAGTTGAGAGAAATAAATATTTGAACACAAATTTACAGTTTCTGAAAAACTGTTAACATATACGATTTTGTAAAATCAATTAGGCACAGTAAATCAACTCCAAAAATAGTAAAATTTTGAGGGAAGTTTATAAACATGTAGATAAACATGTCAGAGAAAGAATTTTTCAAATATCACTTTCCATTTGTGAAAACTCATCTGTTTTGTAAAACATGCATGAACATGTGCACGAACGAAAACATGATTTTGTAAATTCCATTAAACATAACAAATCAATTCTAAACTTGATGAAACTTTGCGAAATGTTTGTAAACTTGAAAACAAATATGTTAGAAAAAGAATTTCTCAAATTGAATTTCCATTTGTGAAAACTCATGTATTTTGCAAGTGTGTCCAAAGCATGAAACTCAAAACCATGCATGTATATATATAACTATATATATACATAGAAACCAAATACGTGTGTGTATATGATATTGAGCTTAAGGTACTTAACACACATAATATAAAACCTAAACTAGATTACCCAAGCCGATCTTGATCTTCAATAAGCTTGACTTGGTACACTTTGCGGATGAAGCTTGAACTTGGATCTTGAACTTTGAATAGCAAGGCTTCAACCCGACATTCCGCCAACCTCCTTTGGATATCATCGTTGAAGCGCAATCCATCCAACCTCCAACTACGTTGTTTGTCTATAATAAATAAGAAAACACAAACACTAGACAAACAACATTAGTAGTAAATTGTTTGTAGATCATCATCAAAACAAGAAGGCCAACAACTTTTCCTTTCTTAGTTGTGTTGGTTTATGTTCATAGGTGATACAACCAAATACCTTAAAGAAATTCACTTTCACCTTTCGCCTATACCAAGCTTCATATGGCGTCTTGTTTGGCACAACTTTTGTTGGTGATCTATTCAAAATGTAGACTGTTGTATATACTGCCTCAGCCCATAATTTGTTTGGGAGATTTTTACTTTTTAACATGCTCCTCGCCATCTCCACAATTGATCTATTTCTTCTTTCTGCTACTCCATTTTATTGTGGAGTGTACCTTGTTGTTAGGTCCTTTTTAATTCCATATTTTTTACAAAAATTTTGAAATTCATTGTAAGTGAACTCTCCTCCATGATCAGTTCTTAGAACTTTCAATTTATGGCCACTTTGCTTTTCTACAAGAGCCTTATACTCAATAAACTTTGAGAATACTTCTGATTTTGCTTTTAAGAAATATACCCACATCATTCTGCTATAATCATCAACAAATAATAAGAAATATCTTCTTCTATTTAATGATGGGGTTTGTGTTAGGTCACAAACATCAGAATGCACAAATTCTAACGGGGCTTTTACTCTCCAAGATGTTTTGGTAAATGCTAAGCGATGCATTTTTCCATAAATGCATCCTTCACAAACTTTTTCTTCTTTATTTATGTGTGGGAGTCCTATCACCATATTCTTCATTTTTAGCAAGTTTAGACTCTTGAAGTTTAAGTGGCTATATCTTTGATGCCATAATAGAGAATCATTATTTTCTTCTAATTTGAGTGCAAGATTCTCTATTGACATTTTTAAGGGAAAAAAGGAGCCATTTTTATTATAGCCACTATTTTCTTATTCTTGTCATCTATTATCACACATTCATTCTTAAAGAAATTGATTTCATAGCTTTTTTGAATTAATTGTCCCACACTAAGTAAATTTTGAGTTATCCCCGAAACATAAAGAACATCTGAGATGTATTTCGTCTTACCTCTCTTTGTCTGGACTGCTATCACTCCCTTTCCTTCAATGTTTTGTAATTTTCTGTCTCCAAGCTTTATTTGAGAGCTTGTTTCATCCTTCAACTCTACGAAGATGCTCTTATTTCCTGTCATATGATTGCTGCATCCACTATCCAAATACCAAGTATCCTTTTCTTCTGATTGTGCATTAAAACATGAATAAAATAAGTTACTTCTGTATAGTGGACTTCATTATTTTCTGATACCAGTAATCTTTTTGGGAGTGATTAGCATTTCTACAGTTTGTGCATTTAAACTTACGGTTGTATGTGTTATGTCCAGACTTACTACATATTTTACAATAGGAGGTAGACTTACCTTTTGAGAAATCTTTGTCTCTCTCATTAATTTTTTCTTTTGTCTCCCAAACTTTCTTTCATGGTAGTTGCCTCTTCCATCTTATACTTTCTGAGAAAATCTTCTTTCTTTATTTTCTTTAGTTCCATCTCCTCCTTTCCCTAAAAATATTAGTTTTGACTGAAACGCTTGCTCCACCTCTTGGCTTGAAAATCTACTTCTTCTAAGCTCATGTGACTCCAAAAAAGCCATTAGTTCATAAAAACTTAATTTTGAGAAGTCTTTAAATTCTTCTATGGCAATAACAATATGATCCCATGTAAGGGGAAGACTTCTTAGTATCTTCTCAACTATCTTCTTATTCTCTATTTTATCCCCATAGCTTCTAATTCGATTAATAATTGAAGTAACTCTATCAGAAAATTCTTTCACGGATTCATTATCTTTCATCTTTATGTTGTCAAAGTCTCTCCATAAAGATTGTAGTTTGATAGAGATTACCTTATCGGAGCCCTTGAATTCTTGTTTGAGTATGTCCCATGCATCCTTTGATTTTGACGCGGACATTATTCGGGGAAAGATTGCTTTGCTTACCCCTTGTTGGATAAAGAGAAGCGCCTTCGTATCCTTTTTCTTGTTCTCTTTATACTCCTTTTGCTTTGTTGGTGTCCATGATGCTAACATTGCTGAGTCATCTGGACCTTCATAGCCTCCTTCGACAAGCTCCCAAAGTTCTTGAGAGATGAAGAATGTCTTCATTTGGAGGCTCCAGAAGTTATAGTTTTCGCCATCGAAAATGGGGACTAAGTTTTGAGAGTAATTGAAAAGAGAAGGGGCAATTGCTGATGAGGCTGCCATTTAGAATGATAGTGAAAGGCTAAATGCTTTCAAGATTGATTTGAGGTGGAAAAGGATGGCTCTGATACCAAATTTGTTGGAGTTGAGGAAGCGGGATCGATTGAGAATGGAGGAAATAGGATGGAAAATGAGAAGAGGCAAAGAACTTAAAGAAACTTTGTATGAATTGCTTCAAAGCTTGTTTACAATGCTTACATCCATTGCCTATTTATAGAGACATATAGAACTATCTAGAGCATAGATATTTTATATGAAACATTCTAGAGTATTGTATAACACACCACTCTTCTAGATATATCTTATTTGCATCATATTTCTAGGCCTACTTATTTCTAGAATCTTTGCATATTACAAGATTATTGTAGAGTGTTCTAGAGAATTACAAATTACTTCTAACAAGTACTACATTCTTCCTGAAGTTTCTGTTAAACAGTTCTTTTGAATCATTCATAGTGGATCTGCTTTGCTTGTTATAATTGTTTATTTGTTTAATTGTTTTTTGGTTAGGAAGTTTTATACAATCCTTCATAGTCTGTTGTTTGAGTGCATCTGCATACACTTTATAATATGTCTATTTATCAGTTTGTCTATTTATCAGTTTGTCCATCATTCAGGAAGAAAGTACTACATTCTTCCTGAAGTTTCGCAGAATGTTCAAGTGCACTGCATTCATAACCGTCTATCTATTCGTCTGTGTGCCTTGCAAGTATAATGCTTTAAAGTTCCATTGAACTCTCCACATTATAGTTCTACAGAATTGAGATAGTATTTTGAATCTATTTGTTTATTGCATTAGCATATAGCATTATTTGCTTTAAGTTTTAATTTACCCTATTTCACCCTCCTGTGGGGTCTTGTACTAAGTTCAAAATGTTAAAAGATTTGAAGAACTAATTTTAAATTTGAGGTAATAATTTGCAAAATGTTTAAAGATTTGAGGGATTGATTTTAAATTTTTATTAATTGGGGACTAATATCAATATATGACTTGTTGCGAGACTTTTAGGAAAAAAATTTCTCCACTTTTTTTTTTATGTGAGTCATGGCAAAAGTGAGATGAATTTTTTTATCCATTTTGAATCTATCTTCTGCCTAAATCGTAGTTGTGACTTGTGAGAGAGGAAATTGGCCTTTTGATTTGTGTAATGTGGTACACAGTTTTATCCGCACTTTTTCTTTTCTTTTTGACGAACCCAACATTAAAAAATGAGGGGTTCTTACCCTTTTTACCTGTTTTTTGGGTTTACATTCACTTTAGCGACCAACAGACTTTTCGTGGGGGCGGGGGGGGCCGCCGACCTCGCGCCCTCTTGACAGGCATTTCATCCTCTGAATTCTCCGTGCCGTCCAATGTATGGTCCAAGATGGGAGTAAGCCGAATAAAAGTGCACGAGAGAGTGAGAGAGAGAGGGGTGAGAGAGACGAGAGCGGAAGCTCCATCGTTTTAGATTAAGCCGTGAAAGTTGTCCCCCATGGCCATGGCGTCTCCAACCCATTCCTCTGTCTCTTTCTCCCCTAAAATATCCACTACTCCTCACATTGTTCTCTCCTCCTCCCGCAATAGCTCGCCCCTTCTCCTCCCTCGTCCTCATCTGCTCCCACTTCCATCATCATAGGCGCCGGTCTCTCCGGTCCTCGGCCGCAGCCACCACCTCCACTCCTCCTCCGGTTCCCCCTTCCTCCTCCTTGGACTCTTCCGATCCGTTTGGTGCCGCCGTTCCGCCTACTGATCTGGACGGCTTCCTCCTTTGTCGACCGCGGCTTCCAGGATATTCCTGGGATCTGCACTATCCCAGAGGCCCGGCGCCTCCTCCACTACCCCTCCCTCCGCCTCCAACCCTTCGTATCCGGCCCTCGTTCTATCACAACCGCCGCTTCACAGGCTTGCCGGACTCCTTCCGCCCGCCCCTCGACGCCCTGGGCCTCCCTCTCCATAACCATCGGCCTTCTCTCCCCGACGAAGCTTTCTCGTCGTCCTCTCCCGCCTCCATGCCGTCTCTCGCGATGACCCCGACATCCTCACCTCTCCTAATGAGACCTCCATCTCCCTTCTCCTTCGCCACACCATCTTCTCCCCTTCCATGGTAGACCGCTTCTTCAAGCCCTTCCTCGATGACATCTTCTTCGACAGAGACCTCACCACCACCTCCCGTCTCTACGATTTCATCATCTAGTGCCTGGCACTCGGTGACAAAACCCTCCCTGCTGGTGGTATCGTTGCCATCCCCAACCAGCTCGCCGCCAACCTACCTGAAGGATCCATACGTCTCAATGCCAAGGTCGTAGCCATCGATACCACCTCCTCTCCGGTACCCACTGTTAAGCTTGAATGTGGAGACACCCTGACAGCTGATCTCGGGCTCATAGTTGCGGTAGATCAGCCAGAAGCAGAGAAACTGTTGCTCAACGACAAATTAGTACGCACGAATCGGATCCCTAAGAAAAGGGACCCCGCAGCGGTTCGGAGTACGGTGTGCATGTACTTCTCCGCGGATCGGGCTGCGGTTGAAGATCCGATACTGATCTTAAACGGATCGGGCCTAGGGATGGTGAACAACATGTTCTTTGCGACGAACGTTGCACCTTCCTACGGGCCCAAGGGTAAGGTGCTGGTGTCGGTGTCGTTGATTGGGGCGTACGAGGATGAGTCGGATGAGGAGCTGACAGCTGAGGTTGTTAGGGAGCTCAGCGGGTGGTTTGGGAGTGAGGAGGTGGGTGCCTGGAGACATCTGAGGACTTATCGGATTGGGTTTGCACAGCCTGATCAGAGGCCGCCCACTGACCTAACGGGTAAGGATCCGAGAGTGGGTGAGGGGTTGTACGCGTGTGGGGACTATATGAATTCCGCCACGTTTGATGGGGCGTTGGTGTCCGGGAGGAGAGCTGCAGAGGCCTTGGTTCAGGACAGATGGGGTGGCGGCGCTTCTTCATGACCACACTCGATCTCGCCACGATTCAATGGGTTCCTTTTACATTCTTTAAATCGTTAACTACAACTATTTTAATATTTCAACGTTTTCGTTTGGGATGCAGTCCAACCAAAAAATCTATAGAAAATTATATTTACTAAAGATGTTCTGTATAGATATAGGAAAAAAATGCCTCTACCCCCAAAATCAAAAAGGAAATTCTTCTCCCATTTAAGACTAATTCAATAACTCTTGCTATGGTGTTCCCATTCGCCCAAGTGCAACTCAGTACTGAGCATCGAACAAGTATACTTTTGCACGTTATGCCCCAATCAACTTGGTGGCCAAACTTGTAGGGATGACAACTCAGCCGACCTGTCAAGTCGACACCCCCTCATGTCGACTCGAAAGGCGGTACTTGTCGTCCCCCTTTGTCGAAGACGACTCACTGAGTCCACTCGACCACTTGCCAGACGCCTCACGAGGACGACTCTAAAGCCGTTACTTCTCGACAACATCGCATTTAATACATGGCAGACGCATCATGCCTATAGCCTCGATAGTCTTCATGACTCATTGGACCACATGGGTCACCGCCCTGCCACCGCTCACTTCTCGTTTAATGCTGAAGTGATCATTCCCCCACTCGCCAGCCGACACCTGTAAAGCAAGTGCTGACGCAGTTGTCAGCCCACACTTTGCGACCGCCTTCCTGCAGTCGGTCGAATGACCAATCTATCCTTTTACCCTAGGTATAAATACAAATACTATTCTGTCTTGACGGAGAATGGAAGATTGGACCGGAAAATCGGATTCCTGATCCAAATTCTCTAAAAATTTTAAATCATATTGCACACACACAAGAACTCTCATAGTTCTTATTTACCCCACTCAAGTTTATCAACTAACTTGATCGTCGAAGGTATAACGGGGGAATCAAGCTCCATCCTCTCACGAATTTCTACATGTGCAAATTTTTTAGATTCCCAATTTAAGAACCAGACATAAAGTTGGAGAAGAAAACAGCCTCTCGTCAATCCTCAACAAACTCATCCAAACATGGATACATATTGATTGTGTGATCACTAGTACGTCAACAAGTCTACTACCCCAAAATTAAAATTTATAAGCAATCAATCCCTTCCATTTCATATCAATCCCCATCAGTGTATATTATTTTCAAAAAAAACCCCAAAATGCCCCACTCCCTCCTCTCCCTTAAAACAAAAACAATCCTAAAGAAAACCATTTTCTTCCCATCATGGTCTTCCTTCTCTTCTGCATACCTAGCTTCGTTGCAGGCAATGCCACCGCCAGTTTCACAAGAAAGCTCCATTGTGCCATTTCCCTCTCCCAAAAAAAAGGGGGAAAAAGAAAAATCCAAAACCACCATCAGTCTCTACACACTCCTTTTTTTTGCCATTTCATCAAACAAAATGCCTCTCAATCTCCATTCCTACTAAAGTCTCTATCGCCGCCGTCATTAGCGATAACGTCAAGACCCTAGCCCATTTCTATTATCTGCATAACAACATCTGCATTGGGTTTGAACCAAGACATACAATAGAGTAAAAATTTCAGGGGAGGGAGGCAGGGGGAAGACTAACAATAGAGGAAAATTTTCATGAAAGAATTGATTTTGATAAATCAAAGAGCTTATGTTATTAATAAATTGCTTCCTAGAGAGATGTGCAAATACTTATTTCCTTGGTATAAGGTATGATATCATTTTATTTTGTTTGTTGCTAAGTTTTTTAGTTAGTTCTTAAGGTTACAGTTTAGTTGTTAACCATACAGATTGGTTATCAAATTTACGTAGTAATTGTTTAGTTTATAGTTCTTGATGTCAGTAATCAAACAGGGGATTTATGCCTGAGTTATGAGTATATTTAGGGTCCTCAAACTCGTTCAGATGATTGGTTTCACAGCCAGCTATTCTTCTCTACACATAAAAAACTCGTAAGATGGTGGAGTTAGGTTCTCCGGTTGTTCCTCCGACGATCAAGTTAGTAGTTTGATCTTGAGTGGGAAAATTAAAGACAAATTGTTTAGTTAGTTATTCAAAGTTGCCAAAAAGCAAAAGAAATTACCCCATGCAGCGTAGTCCCCTTTTATAATAGCTCAGAGGGGTATGAAGGTAACTTCGGTCGAGCCCAGTCAGGCTGTTGAGTCAGTAGATACCTTCCAGGTGTCGGTCGCAGAAGAAAGTGAGATCGGGTCATTTAATGAGGGAATGATAGTAGGTGCTTGGAGCTGACTGGATCCAATGAGTCATAAAGACTATGGGAGCTAGAGAAATGATGACTTTGTCAGAACAGTTAATTGGGTAAAGGCCTGAGAAGCACCGCCTTTTGACTCGACTACGCAAGTTATCAGCTGACACAATAGGCCGAGTGCAGGTTGCTCTAGGATCGATCGGGTGAGGTGGCCGACAAGTACCGTCTTTTTATTTGGCTACACAAGTTATCGGCTAACACAATAAGCCGAGTGCAGGTTGTTCTAGGGTCAATCGGGTGAGGTGGCCGATAAGTACCCCCTTTTGACTCGGCTATGCAAGTAGTCGGATGATATAGTAGGCTGTAGGAGTAGTTTGAGTCATCTTGGCCTCAATTCGTCTAATTAGGCGAGGGGTGAGATACGTGTCGGCTTCTCTAGAGAGATTAGCACTTATTGATTTTCTAGTTAGTCTATAACAGATCGCCCCCATCCACTTGAACTCGACTAGCTGAGTACAGGTGGAAGATTAAATAGCTGTCGGTTATCTACTCTCAAGGCGTATTAATAAGGAGTGACTAAAAGGTCTTTTCATATGTGAATGCATTATCATCAGGGCGCATTAATGTGGAGTGCCTTGGTTTTACTCATATGAATGACACCAAGGTCGTCTTTGGTGTTGGGTCCTTTTATTTTGATGATGTTTAACAAACAATTTACCACTAATGTTGTTTGTCTAGTGTTTGTATTTCGTATTTATTCCAGGCAAATAACGTGTTGGAGGTTGGATGGTGTTTGTTGGAAAAATTGCAATGAAAAGAATAAAGAAAATTGATTTGTATTTCTTTGATTCCGATTACAACTTGATTACAAAAGAGGAGAGAACGGATTTGATTCTCTCCTTTGTTTAAAACTGGGTTCTTCACGGTGGCGATGGAATGCCTCCTTCGATTGCTCGCGTCGAAATTGCTCTCCGTTGACGATCCGCTGTTTTGCTTCACTGGAACGATATCTTCTCCTCACGATTTGACGTTGTGGAGAACTTGCGTGGTAAGTTTAAAACTCTTAATGAGTTGATAACTCTGATCGAGTTTGAACTCTTGAAAAAGAGTTGATTTGAACCGAAGATCGGTTGTAAGCCAAGGACAGAGGCTCCCTGTTGCTGAAGTTGAAGATGATCTTCGTTGGAAGATGATGTCGATCTCCTCAAAAGCCTGTCTCCAGTGGTCGATCCAAGCCAAGAAAATCGAACCGAACCCGAAGCCCTCGTGAACTGAATTGATCTTCAGTTATTTATAGAGGATTAAGGGGGTGAAACCGCCCCTTAAATCTCTCCTAAGTGGGCGAAAATCCCTCAGAACGTGGGATAACGGTTTTGAGGCCGTTCGGCTTGTGTTTGAACAAGTCAAAACACCCAACCTGGCGTTCAGAACCCAACTTCGCCTCTTAGAATTGAGACGCGAAGTTGGGTGTTGGCTGAACATTGATGAACGCGAGGGTCACTCGTGTTTTGGTTTGTTGTAGCTTAGAAACGCGGGGGTCTGGCGTTTTGATGTTGTGACGCGGGGTTCGACCCTGGCGTTTTGATGTTATGACGCGGGGTTCGACCCTAGCGTTTTGATGTTGAGACGCGGGGTTCGACCCTGGCGTTTTGATGTTGTGACGTGGGTTCGACCTCGGCATTTTGACGTTGAAACACGGGGAGGACCTCCGCGTCTTGCCTTGCAGAGATTATCACCAAGTAATCTCTTTTTGTCATAGCGTTGCAAAGATCATTGTCTTGTAATCTTCGTCTTGGCTCCTTGAGAATATGAGAGTCGTCAGATTGTAACTCCCGACGTTGATTGTGAAGGCTGTTGAAGTAGAGCTTCCATCAGTTGTCGTGAAGGTCGTCAGATTGTAACCTTCAGCAATCTACGCGAAAGTCTTCAGATTACAGCCTTCTGGAAGTCGTCAGATTGTAACTTCCATCATCGGTGGTTGATGGGGGATAAGCTATCTATTGTGATTTTTAGACAGCCTACAGATGGATTGAGCCTACACGATCACATCAAATGGAGGTTGGTGGAATAGTGGAATGAAGCCATTATACATCAAGTTATATTCAAGATCAAGCTTCATCTGCAACCAAGTCAAGCTACAATGAAGATCTATCAAGTTTGGGTAAATTAAGTTTAGGGTTTATATAATGTGTGTTAATTCTATAAGCTCAAATACACACACACACATTACATTTGTGAATTTTTATGAAAATAGGTGTTTTTATGCAAAATACATAAATATATTTTGGACTATACAAACCATGCTAACATCTTTTATTATGTCCATAAAAACATTACACAAGTTTTCAGAACTTTATTTGAGCTAAAATGTCAAAATCAACATATTTGAAAAAATGTATTTGTGCACTTTTGAATATTTCTGAGTTTTCACAAATGATAAGAGCAATTTAAAAAATTCTTTTTCCAACATGTTCATATTCATGATTATAAACTTTTCCCAAAGTTTTACATTTTTTAGAATTTATTTGCTATTTTTTATAGAGCCTTTAAACTCATTTCAAAAATCGATTCAGGCTGATATTCTGTTATCAGTCGACTGGTCAGTCGATTGATGACATCAGTCGACTGATCAGTCGACTGACAAAAGTGTCTGCAATCATTAAATAGTTTCTGTTTTGTTTCTGTCGACTGACCAGTCGACTGATGATTCATCAGTCAACTGATAAAGATCGCTAGTCGACTGATGAGCTGGAAAATGAATACAACGGTCAGCTCATCATTCGACTGATGCATCCCGTCAGTCGACTAACCAGCTCCAACGACTATATTTCCAGCCTTTGTTATTTTATCGTTTTTGCTGGTTTTTCTTGGGTTTTGTGCCTTGGTTTTTCATCCTATATAAACCCCTATTGTTCTCATCAGAATAATTATCTAAGAGGGTTTTTTAACAAGAGTTTTAAGTGTTTAAAAGTTTGTTTCTTCTTAAGTTTGAGTTTGGTGTTTTGTTTACAAAA